ACCTGCTAAATCCACATGATTGTAAGTATTTATAGAGTTGCTTTTGGTTTATTTGTATCCATCATTGTCTTACATATATGGAGGCTCTTTATCCCCACCCCCCTATCTTTAAACCACACTGACTAGGAACTAATAATGGAGGTATGAGACTGGACATCCTGGTTTCTTTCTTTTTAGACACCATGTAACAGAGGTGGACCTTGAACTCTTGGAGCCTCTCTCCCTAATGTTGGGATCATAGGTGTATGCTTGGTTTAAGAAAAATTACTTCAACATTTTCTTGAGAGGTTTGCTGTAGGATTTTTGCTGCTGCTTTTTATTAATTAGGATTGGCCTTTATAATCTAGGCTTTCTAAATTAGTTCTTCTTCCTTCAGCTCCTCTTTGTGCAATGATGGGGATAGAAGTCAATGCCTAAGCATGCTAAGCACATGCTCTACCACTGAGCCAAAACCCTAGCTACCCTCCAACTCCGTAAGTACTTCTGAACCTCCTGCCACCATTGTTTGAATGTTAAGACTACAAATGTGTGCAACTGTTTCTTTCAAAAAAAATTAAATGGGGCCAGGTGTTAGTGGCCCATGCCTTTAGTTCCAGCAGAGGCAGGAGGATCCCTGTGAGTTCGGGGCCTGCCTGATCTTCAAAGAGAGTTCCAGGACAGTCTCCAAACCTACCTCCAAACCTGTCTCAAAAAAACAAAAGCAAAACAAAAACAGAAAATCATGGATAGGTGTTTAGATGGCTTTTTCATCTAGGTGGTTTTTTTTCTGTTGTGAAACACGCTGACTGGCTCTCACAGCTGAATCAAACCAATAAACTGGTTAATCTGATTCATTTTTTAATGAATTGATAGATTTGGTTATTTTGTCAGGAAATTTCTTTCCTGTGGTGCCATAGTTCACATTTAAGGTCTCAAGTATGTGCTTTATCATTGAGATACACCCCTTGCTTCCTTATTTTTCAGTTAAACACGCACGCACGCACGCGCACACACACACACACACACACACACACACACACACACACACACACACGGGGGGGGGGGGGGGGCGGGCAGAGCCAGGAGTGTCAGATCCCTTGGAAATGGAACTACAGACAGCTAGCTCACAGCTGCCATGTGGATGTTGGGAATCAAATCCAGGTCCTTGAAGAGTGTCAGTGCTCTTAACCACCAAACCATCCCTCCAGCCTTATTGTTCAGTTTTTGAGACAGGGTCTGTCTGTAGCCAATACAATCTAGAACATATAAAGACATGGCTGACCTTGAACTCACGGCAAACAGTCTCAGCTCCCAACAGGCATTACAGGCATGAGGCACCGAACACCCAGATTCCTAGTCTTTTGTAGGTACAGTAGAATATGCCTATAATCCCAGAGTTTGGAAAACTGGGGCAGGAGAATCACAAATCGAGGACTAGACTGAGCTACATGTAATTCTTTGAATTTCACATCTACATTCGTGGCAGAAGTTGGTTCCTAGAATTCCTTAGAATGTTGCCAGATTTTGGTGGATGGGCACTGCTGCTTCAAAATGAATTGAGACCTATTCCTTTGTTCTGTTCTTAAAATTTACCCCTGGGTAATTCTAAGATATGAGGGTGTGTGGTTGTGTGTACCTTGTGCAAGTCTGGGTTGATGTTTCAAAACATTTTCCTTTATAAAATACTGTTTGTGTAGGTATTTCAGGTCATGATCCAAGTACAAAGCCCACAGGACAAATCTTCATTCTACCTTTACATGGATTCTGGGGAGCAAACTTGGGCCATTTCATCAGCTCCAGCTTACTTTTGAGAAAGGTTCTTTCACTAAACCTGGAGTTCAATATTTTGGCTAAACTAGCTGACCAGGAAGTCCCTAGAATCCACTTGTCTCTGACCCCCACCCCCCACTGCTACAGTTACACATGCACTCTATCAGGGGGTTTTACCTGCATCTAGGTTCAGGCCACTAGGTTTGTATAGTGTGTTGGCTGGGTATGTGGTACTGGCTGGTATTAAAAAAAAAAAAAAAAAAAAAACCAGGCTGGGTAAGCCAGTGAGTGCTGTTTCACGCTTGTTTCAGCTCCTGACTCTGGGTTCCTTCCCTTGAAGACAGACTATAATCTGTAAGGGGAACTAAATCCCTTCCTCCACAAGTTGCTCTGGTCATGGTCTTATAATAGACACAAAACTAAGAGCAAGCACTTGACTTACTGAGCCATCTCCCAAGCCCCCAGTTCAAGCCCCCATCCCTCACCTAAGGTCATGTATGTAAAAAATTTGATTAGTCTGTTAGGGCTATGTTCATTGATGTTTTCAAAGTAGATTTCAGGTTGTAGCACCATTTTAATTTTAACTGACTTTTGCTTTTACTTTTATTGAGTTTGCCAGTCTCCATATTGACATGAAGTCAGTGATTTTCATCTGTGATGTGTAAACTGGAGGTTATGTATTTACTTCATTACATTATTTGTTCTGTCTGCATGTGTGAACAGGTACATTAAGCTCAGTGGCAAGTTCTCCCAATGCGGTTTTTACTTGCTCATTATATTTTTGGGTTTTTTTTGTTTTTTTCTGAGTCCTGGAACTATGTACACCAGGCTGGCCTCAAACTCAGAGATCCACCTGCCTCTGTCTCCCAGATGCTGGGACTGAAGATGTGTGCCATCATCACCCAGAGACAACGGTAATCTATTTCTTTCCACATTCTTTTTTTTTTTTTTTTAAAGATAGGGTTGCTATGTATTGTGGCCAGCCAAGAACTCACTATGTGACTATCTTATACTAAACTGGCCCTAAACTCAGATTCACCTGCCTCTGCCTCCTAAGTGCACTACCATGCCTGCCTTCTGTCTTGATTTTTTTGAGTCATGGTCTCAATGAATCCAAAGACTGCTGCTTTGACTAGAGTGACTGGACAAGTCCCTAGCATCTTCTTTTCTCTGTGTCCCCACTACTGGGGTTACCCAGGTTTTGCTTGGGTGATGGGGAATCTGAACTCAGGCCCCCATGCTTACATGGCAAGCATTATAACCAATGAACCATCTCCCCAGATCCTCTTTGTTCTTTTCCTGGCTTTTGAATAACAGCAAGTAGCCTCTGAAGCCTGAAGATGCCTCTCTACCCTGTCCTGTTAGAACATTACAGCTCTCCAAAACCCTTGAAAAAAGAAGCCAGATGCTGGTTGTGTTCTACTAAGCCAGGCACAAAATCAGCTCTAAAGATGTCCTTTAAGCTCTGAGCTCCACAGATGGCATGTAAACACACTGCATAATAAATGTAAGCACTACCTCTTTACTTAATAGAAATCTCTCTCCCACCCAGGCACAGAAGCCAGGAGTTAGGTTCTGCCTGTGCAAGAGATACTTCTCAGGTAAGGGCTACCACCTTAGACCCCCAAACGGCTTTCATGATCAGTTGTAGCGTTCTGGCCACCTAAAAATCTGCCCACAAAGGAACCACCATAGTCTTCTTAGCAGGGCAGTCTGTGTGTAAGCAGACAGGGTAGAAGAAGAGCCAACAATGATCAGAGTAAAGTGCTTAGATATCTCTTTGCTGATAGAATAAATTCCCCAATTAAAAGAAAAAAAATTAAAAAAAAAAAAACAAAACAGAGCATGTTTTATTTTAATCCTGTGGAGAGGGATGGAAAACACATAATAAGGGGATGGGTCTCTATATAATACATACAACATCAGGACCAACCACAAGGTATGAGACCCATTGCACCCCTCCCCGTCCAACTCCTATGCATGTTCCAAGGCCAGCTGAGGATAAATTGGACAGGATTGGCACAGTAACATGGCCAATGCACCAAAAGATGGAGAGAGTGTCCCAGGGAGCAAGGCCCCACACCTCAGCTGCTCCCCATGTGGAGAAGAATGAGAAACTTTGGCTCGGTAGGAAGGCGAATTTCAAATATCAGGGTACCCTAGTTAAACTTTTCAGATCACAAACTGGAGTGAGTCAAAATATCTATCAAGTTGATGCTGTTTTCTGTTTTCTCTAAGACCTTTCCTCTTTAGGCCTGAGGCCGGGTTCTCCTTTTCAAATGGGAAGGCAAGGAAATAAGTGCTTATTCTATCCTTCCTAAATCTAGGCTACCTAATTACTACTTTCTTGGCTCTAGAGACAGAAGCCAACTATCAAGGCCGGCTCCCTTTGTGAAAGTCGGCTTAAAGAGCCCTTAGGTTGGCTCAACTGCCTCTACAAAGGTTTTTCAATGAGTATCCATTCCTTTATACAACTTCCTCAAACTTGTTACTGACATCTTCAGATGTGTAAGACATGGGCTAAAGACTTGGTCTCTCTTTAGAGTTGGATCAATAGTTCTATCTTTGCGGATGAGGTTCAGAGAGGAAGAGCAAGTGCTGATAATGAGAATGGTCACAGAAAGAAAGGCAGTTTATAATAGGTTATACATTCAAGCCCATGGAGATGGAAGGGGAACTCTGATATATTATCAGTAAGTAAACAATATTTTAGTGGCAACCCTGTATTTTCCATAGACCAAAGAAAATGTCTTAAAAGGGAGAGGAGACTGAGCCAGCAAAATCTAGCTATTCATCTTAAATCAGAAAAAACTCATTTAGCTAATACTGTTTCAAGTATAATCATGAGGAGAGATGGCACTATTGAAACTCACACTAGGAGAATGGGATCACAGAGCCTAAACCTGGATCCACATGCTTGCTTCCTTTGAGAAGACACACCCAGAAATCATCTTTGATCTGAAGACTGCCATCCTTCCTGCCCCAGTATAATACTCTTTCAGGAATTGGGTAAATTAAGACATCTGCTTTAAGTTTAAGTGGTTAAAAGAAGGGGAAAGCGCTGAAATTTGTAAAAGCTAATAGCTAAAGCCAGAACCAAGATTAAGGTCCTCATGGCAACCAGGCTGGAAATGAAAGAAGGGAGCAGAGGGGAATAGGTGGAGAGTTCCTGCTTGTCCTTTGGTGTTCCTCTTCCCCTGCCTCCCATTCCATCCAACAGCCTAATGCAGCTATCTGTCTGCCAGAGGGGATGCAATGCCCAGACCAACTTTTTATTGAGCTTATGCAGCTAACAGACTTGTAAACAGTGCCAATTGACAAAGTTTTGCTGAAAACTACAGCTTGTATCCATTAAACACACCTCTCTCTTGAGATTAAAAACAAAAACCCAAAGTAAACAAATACTGAGAGTGAGAGAGAGAGGGAAGAGAGACACACATCTTGAGTCTTCCAGGAAGGCAAAGTTAAAAAAAAAAAAAAAAAAAAAAGCCACATGGCTTGGTCCCAGGCGCTCACCATGCCTAGAGCTAGAGCGTTGCTGCTATTACCATGTCTCCTTTCTACCAGTGACTAGGTAGAGGTTCAGGAACAGGGTCATCTTGGGCATGCTGCAAATACAGCATTTGCTGGTGTTGACTCCCTCCTGGGGCTGTGGCGGCAGACTGCTGTGTCAGGAGCCCAATTCCTGGGAGCAGCAGGGGGATCCAGGACCTCCAGTCAGCCCACACACCTCAGCGGGGTACCTCGCCCCTTTTCTCCAGTGCGGTTCAGCATTGAGGTTGTCTATTCCCGGTCGGCAATAAAACCTGAGCTGTTTTCCTCAGAGGTCCCACTCCCACTCCCACACTTATGAGAGTAGTAGGAGGAAATAGGAAGGATCACTGAGGGGGCAGGGGAATCCCCCGGGGATCGGTGACCTGGCCCTCTTGCAGGTTCTTCACCAGTTGTGCAAGCCAGCGTTTCGTGGTGGTGTCATCTTTTAGCACCTGGGCAAAGGTTGTGTCCTTCAGCTGGTCAGGGAGGCACTGCCTGAGTGCTTCACGTGCCCTACATCAGAAACAAACAAACCAACCAGGGAGACAACAAATAAACCCACATTTTGGGGCTTAGAAGAGCCCCAAAATATAAACATACAACTTCCTAGGTAGAAATATGCTTTGTGAAGTTAATCAGAAGCTACTAGAATTCTTAAAAAAAGATATTATGCATAGGTTCAGAAACACCTAGAATGTTTAGTTCACAAATATTTTCAACATACCCTAATGCAGAAGTTCATGTAAAAGCAAAATGGAATACAAAATGATGCAACAGTTTACTTCACTTCAAATTTTGTTCTGATACCATAATAAATACTGTCAAAATACCGTAAGACAAAGTCTATGGTAAATTATTTTAAAAATTGTACACTGACAGCAGACATGACCTCATTTGTATGATAAATCAGTGGGTTTTAATTCTATACTAACATCAGTTATGTCTTTAAGCAAATGCTTCAACTTTGTATTTGAAAACCTTAATAAGAGATGAATAGCAAAAACTATGGTAGCATTATTACCTAGAAGCCTGAAAAAGGCAAATGCCAACTCCATACAGGGCTGTTCTGAACAGTTATAGCCCTTATACTCAAACAGGTAGAATTTTTAAAAGGTACATTGCAAACTTGGAGGAAATAGGAATCACTGAAAAACAGGACAAAATGATCAAAGAATAGCTAGGGCCTAGAGACTGAGTTCACATTAATCAAGCAACCTGATTCCTAGGAACTCAGAAACCACTCCATTATGTGGTTTGGCAGAATATGAGCATGTAGCTTTCAGCATAAATTATGGATTAATAGGACAAAAGGTCAAACATTTCTGAAGTGCATTACATCTTCAAAGTGATTCTGGCAGAGATCTTGAATGTACCAAGAAAAAGAAATAAGCTCCACGCCTTACAGGACGCAGAGGACTGCAAGCATGAGTCAAGAGCCTCTGGCCATGGATCTTTCCAGGACATCTCTGGAAGTATACTTTTCTGATTACTTGGGAGTAGTCACAGAAAGCCCAAACCACATGATATGGCCTCCCTTGAAACTGTCTGGGCTTTTTGGAATTTTGAGGTAGGACAGAGTTAGAATGGGAAGATCTAACTAGTGGATATTTAAAATTTTAAAGTTAGATTTTAATAGGAACTTAAGTTTGTCTTAGATTTATATCCTTTCTAATCCTTAGGACATAGGAGCTGGGCATGAGACTAGAATCCACTTGTGAGATTATTTCCCTAAAGTTCCAAGTCCTATAAATCTTTACCTGGGATTATCTGAGAGTCGAAGGTAACATCTTACTACGTGCTTCAGAAGACGGGCAGATGGTTCTTTGGATAGCTGCAGGACCATTTTACCCTGTTTTACCCAAAACAAGGATGGGGGAAAACACAAAATAATTCAAATTGACACCAGAGATTAGATCATCTAAAAATCATTATAGCAGTTTCCAATATTTTTATTATTTTTTCCTGTTTGAGACAGGGTCTATGTGGTCTTGGCTATCCTAGTACTCTATCTATCTATCTATCTATCTATCTATCTATCTATCTATCTATCTATCTATCTCAGGCTGGGCTCAGACACACAGAGATCTGCCTTCCTCTGCCTCTGGAGGTCTGGGATTAAAGGCATGCACTACCATTTGAGCTAGTATTTTGAGACAGAGCATTACTTCTTCACCTGTCTGGTGTGGAACTCATGCTGGCCTCAAGCCTGCAATGATCCTCTTGTCTTTCTTTGCCTTATAAACACTGGGATGACAGGCATGTACCACCATAGTTATTTCTAGTTAGAAGACTACATTTACAGCCAGTTACAAAGGGACTCAGTTATGTGATCAGAATTGCAAAGACTGAAAAGAACTCACCAAGATCATGGCAACATGGGAAAAACGCTCATATGTCTGACATATATAAGCCAAACCAGTGTCATCTAAGAGGATCTTCTGGAGGATGAATGTGGCAACCTGGAGCAAAAGAACATATATTATTGGACTGAACAATTACTGTACGGCAGGATTTTTTTCTAAAGGTGATTTATAGGTCTTATTTTTCCTATTGAACCCATCCCATTTTACATAAAAGGGAAACGCCCTTGATAATTATCAGGAGGATAACCTAAAACTTGAGGCCAGCGTAGGGTACTTAGTGAGTACCAAATCAGCTTGGTACAGGCTTAAAACAAACAAAGACCCACAAAAAAAAAAAAAAAAAAAAAAAAAAACCTGATGAACCCCCCCCCCACCTCTAATTTAAACCAGACAATCATTTTGGGGAAAAAGTTTGAGATAGGGTGTGGTGATTTATTATAGCTTGTCTGAGGATTCAGAAAGCAAAGCCACCCTCAAGCTATAGAGATCAGGTGGTGGTGGCACACACCTTTAATCCCAGAACTCAGAAGGCAGATAGTTCTGAGTTCAAGACCACATTGGGCTACCAGAGAGTAAATCAGAGCTCATGCCTTTAATCCCAGGATTTGAGAATTATAAAAGGTAGAGGCATTCAGTCTGAGAGTAGTCTCCAGCCACGTTGAGGACAGCATAGCAGTCTGAGTGAATCTGAGGAGCAGTGAAGTCAGGAATAGTTTGAGGATGGCCCCTTTGGTCTGAACTGAGGTAGAGATAAGAGATAGTGGATGGCTGCTATGCTTTTCTGATTTTCAGGCAAACTTTAATAAACCATAAATAGTGTATCTCAACAGGGTTTTACTCTGTACTCTCAAACTCACAGTAATGACCCCCTAAGTGTTGGGATTACAAGCAAGAGTCACAATACTTGCTTGCAGATAATTAGGATGATGATCATCTTTCTTTGGTGCCATCAGAACTGTTACTCCTCTTTTACTGAGGTATATCACTGTGAAGGGCCAAATAATATGCCTCAAAGGTAACCAAGTCTTAATCATCAAACCCTGAGAGTTTTGCTTCATATATAAAAAAGGGTCTTTGCAGATATAATTAGGAATCTTGACCTAGAGAGATTACACCAACATCATTCTAAGTGAGAGATGGAGATTTAATCCACAAAGGAGAAGGGAATGTAAGAGAATGAGATGTGAACATGTTTGATGCTTGCTCTGTATTGAAAAGGGAACCATGTGTAATAGAACACAAGGAATGCAATTCTAGAAACAAGAAAAGGCATGTAAAGGGACTCTGCTCTATAGCCTCTAGAGGAACCATGGCCCTGCTGTTTCTGGCTTAATTTCAGCTTGTTGAAATTGATCTGAGGCTACTAGAACTGAGAATAAATTTACAAATTAAGCCATCACTTAATTTTGCCAATTTATCATGACAGCAAAAGGAAACTAACACAAAACGCATAACAAAGAGCAAATTCACTAACAAAGTGTCACTTGTTGAGTTTTATAGCCTGTATCTGTAGACCACAACAGCTTAAAACACAAAACATTTCTAGCAACTCAGAATTATAGCATTGCCTTATAACTTTTCCTAGGTAGCATCAATCCGTTAGAGGCAGTCAGTAAACCAGTACTCCAAGGCACTGCCAATAGTTACAAAGCAGGCATACATCTAGTTTAGTGGATAATGCCTAGTTCCTAAGTAGTTACATTACATATTTACCTAGCAGTATTTAAACCAAGCAACCAAGCAACCAGGGCCAGTGAGATGGCCCTGTGCGTAAGGACACTTCCCACCAAGCCCAAGAGCCTGAGTATAGAACCCAAGAAGCACATGCTAGAAGGAGAGAAGCAACTCCCACAAGTTGCTCTCTAACCTTCACATGTATGCCGTGGCATGCGCACATACACAGAAATAAAAACATCAGCCAATCAATTAACCACCTACCTAACTAAACTTTACTACCATGAAAAGCACTCAGTAGTAGTAGGTCCATATTTACTAAACTTTTTTTAAAATTTGTGTATTTGTCTATGTGAATATATGCTCACGTATAGGTGCAGGTCTGTGCAGAAGCCAAACAGGGTGTCAGATGTTCTCTCTAACTCTTTGCCTATTCCTTCCAGACAGGGCCACGGCCTTTAACCTGGGGCTTGTGCTTTATTTTAGACTAGAAGTCAGCAAGTCCCCATGACTCTCCTATCTCTATCTGCTCAGAGCTGGGATTATAGGTATGCACAGGATGTCTGGCTTGATACATGGGTGCTGAATCTGAACATGATTGTGCAGCAAGTGTTCTTAAACACTAAGCCATTTCTCCAGCCCCATATTTAAAAAAAGGACTTGTCTATTATTTTATGTATGGATGTATGGGTATTTTGCCTTCATCTGTGTCTGTACACTATGTGCACGTAGTGCTCAGAGGCCAGAAGACAGCAATAGATCCTCTGGGACTGGAGTTACAGGTGGTTGTGAGCTATCATCATATGGGTAATGGGAATCAGACCATGGTCCTCTGCAAAAACAGCCAGTGCTCTTAACCACTGAACCAATTCTCCAGCCACACCCCTGTTTATTTTAAAATACTTCCCAGGTTATGGGCAAGGTGTTATAAGTGTCATATAAGGAAAGCTAAATACAAAGCCTAGTATGGTGCTGCACCTCAGGAGCTTGAGACAGAAGGACTGCTCCTAATATGAGGTCTGCCTGTGCTATATAGTATCAGGCCAGTAAAGGCAACATAGCTTTGAGAGTAGGTTGAGCAAGCATCCTCCATGGCCTCTACATCAGTGCTTGCCTTGACTTTTTGCTCTGACTTCCCTGGAGAGGCAGAAAATGATTCTAGAGCCACAAAGCAGCAGCTCCAGAGCCAAAACAATGTTGAATCTGACTTAAAAGGACATACCGTTTTAGAAAGTTCACTTCCAGATTCCATAATGCGCAAACACAAAGGGATTATTTCTGTTGTCAATAAAAAGTTGATTACTTCTTGTTCGTCTGTTTTCACCAAGGCCCCTAAAGAAAATATGGACAAACAAAATTATTTTAAATAAATTTCTAATTATATTTACTATGCACTGTCCATGAAAGCAAGTCATGGAATTTAAGTAATATGATATACAATCGGTTTCATATTCACTTAAACAAAAAAACAAGAGTCAGCAGCAGAGTCATGAGTGTAATCCCAGTATTTGGGAAGGCACAGGCAGGAAGACTGTTGAGTTCAAGGCCAGCCTCAGTAATTTAATGAGATGTTGTGTCAAAATTTAAAAGTAAAGTTAAAAAGCAAGTGGGGAAAGTGCTCAGTGTCGGAACACTGGCCTAGTACAAGGTTCTGAGTTCCTTAACATGTTCATTCAACTTAGTTAAAAGTTGATCAAGTTATTCCTTACTCCCTCTATAACTTGATGCTAAATGATTATTGATCCACACAGCTTTACCAGCAACATTGAGAATGGTGCTTGCTCAGTTTGCAAGCACTCACTAGTAAATAAGATGTCAAAGACAAAAAATGAATAAGTCATAACAAGTTGAACAAAATACACAACTTAGACCACTACTGTCCATAAGAATTTCAGGCTTACAAAATGTCCCTAATAACTTCCCTAGGCTGCCTGTACAGTTCAGTTGGTAGAGTGTTTGCCTAGCATGCAGGAAACTCTGAGTTCAATCCCCAGCATTGCATTAAGTACGGGGATGTAACCCTATAATCCCAGCACTTTGGAGGTGGAGGTTAAAGGGTGAGAAATTTAAAAATTCAAGGGTATTCTCAGCTACACAGTAATCCTGAGGTCAGCCTACATTACATGAGACCCTGTCTCAAGAAAAACTAAACAAAAATAATAAAATAACTTACCAATAACTCCAAGGCTGGTGAGCCGAAGATATTCAAAGGGACGAGTTTTGCTGACTGTGTGCAAAAAGGGGTACAGAAAAAGTGGGATGTGTGCTGCAAGAAAAGCAGACCTGAAAGAAAAAACAAGCGTGTTCAGAATTCAGAGCAGACTTCTAAATATCACGTCTAAGCCTGAACAAGACGTGAAACTGCCAGAGTAAGAAATCTTTAGAATTGGGCGGTGGTGGCACATGCCTCTAGTCCCAGCACTCAGGAGGCAGAGGCAGGCTGAGCTCTGTGAGTTTGAGGCCAGCCTGGTCTACACAGCTAGTTCCAGGACAGGCTCCAAAGGCACAGAGAAATCCTGTCTCAAAAAAAAAAAAAAAAAACTTTAGAAAAGAATTGTATTGGTTTTTAGTTTTTAGTCTTGATCAACCTGAAATGTATATAATTTTGTTCCTAGGAGTCGTGTGTCAATGTTTGGAAATAAGGTTGATTGCCAGAAGTAAGAAGTGTTGGGGGTTACTTAGCACACAGTCAGAGTCGAGAGATGTCTACTGCTTAGAAGCATAGCCTCCTGCCCTCATTGACATATCATACAGACTCAGCTCAAGGTGTCAATGCGTAATAACCACCCAGGTTAGGGTGGGTGAACCAACACAATCTACCTTCAGTCTGCACCAAATACCTTAAAATCTTATTAACTCAAAAGTTCTTGACTATAGGTTTAAAAAAGATCAAATCATAAATTTTAAAGCTAATGTGTTGTTGCAATGCTGTTGAGTTCCTAGAACTCAAGAGCATGCCTAAATTAGGAGAATCATGAGTTTGGGGCCAGCTTGGAGACACTGTCTCCAAAAGAAGAGGAGAGGGAAGGGGAGGGGAGGAGAGGGAGAGAAGAAGAAAGACAAAAGTAAAGATATGAGAAGACAGCAGGGTACGGTAGAGAAGGGTAGGAAAGGGGAGAGGAGGAGAGAGAGAAGATAGGAGAGGGTAGGGTAGGGAAAAACAGAAGGGAGAGAAGAGAGGAGAGGAAGGACAGACAAGAGATAAGAGAGGTAAGACGCTACATTAGTACTAAAGAGATTCTTCCTTGAGGCTGGAAAGATAGCTCTCAGTGGTTATGAGTATCTGTTAGGACATGAGTTCAGTTCCCAACACCCATTTCCAGTAGATTACAACTGCCTCTGGTAGCCACAGCTGCCGGGGGATTTGATGTTTTCTAATCTCTGTAAGCACCTATACAGGAGTGGCAGGCAGGCACATGTGTTCACCCTCTAGCACACACATGCACACCTTTATAAGAGTTCTAGGACAGGCTCCAAAGCTACAGAGAAACCTTGTCTCAGAGGAAGAACACCCCCGGCTCCCCACCAAAAACACCCAAAACAACAAAAATAAAACTGAGTTCCTACTATATGCCATGTATTGTACAACAATCATGGCTGAGTGCCTTTTATGATTTCGAAAAAAAGAAGTGCCCATGTACCTAAATATATTAATTTTCCTGTGACATGAACTTTGCTCTTTAAAACTTCAAAGCTGTAAGATGATTTAATTGAACATAAAGTAACTACTTAATTTTGGTATTTTGAAACAGGGCCTCATTCTGTAGCAAGCCTCTTGTCTTAGCCTCCTGAGTGCTGGAATTACAGGTATGAACCATCATGCCATATCAGGAGGCTTAAAGCTCTGGTTTCATATTTGAGATTGAACCACTGCCAGAAAATATTTTTAAGGTAACAGAACAAAAATCTTTCCTCTTAAGACACAGCAAATCACTAAATGAGTTGATCAGCTTCTGTTCAGAGCATTTATTACTATTTTGAAAACTGTTTCTATGATGTTGAAAGTATGGAATTGTATTCTACTTTATTTAAAAACATATTTCCTTCAAATCTGTAACCAGAAACTAAAAATACTTGTCAAACTTAGCAGTGTAGAAACTGTCCAAAAACAAAACAACAACAACAACAACAAAAAAAAAAAAAAAAAAAAAAAAAAAACAAAAAACAAAAAACAAAACAAAAAACCAAGAGAAATGTGACAGACAAAGGTGGCAGGATTAAGAGTTTGAGATCAGTCTTGGCCATAAAAACAAAAGCAGAAACTAAGAACCCTATCCACAAATATCCACAAGGAACTGCAAAACCAACTGATAAATTTTAAAATAAGTTCTGAAGACTCATACCCACACACCACATTGCATGCTCTTTCTTTGATCATTCAACAAAGCTAAGTTTCTATAAAACACTCATCCAGTCCCATTAACTGACCAACACACTCACAGAACTTACCTGGTCTCTGGGTGTGAGGCCACACATTGCAGCAATGCTAAAGCATTGCAAACTCTGTTAGACTGATGTGCTGTCAAAGTTGGAGGGTTGATAGATGGATAAATATTTACAATTTCCTGAAAAATGCAAGGAATCCCAGATAGCAATTAATCACAAATTATCACAGTGTCACAGTATAGTAACTTTAAAATACCACTTTAATTTCTGCAGAAATTGAATTATCCTTTCATCACAAGCATACTGGACTAACTAGGCAAGATTTTTTTCCCATGTATCTCTGGGAGTACTGCCATAGAAACAACTGGGTCTCCTACACTTCCTCCTGATTTTGCAGCTAATCTTTATTTTATTGTATTTTATGTGTGCTGGTGTTTTTTCTGCATATATGTTTGTGCATCATTTATATGCTGTGCCCACAGAGATCAGAAAGAGGCTATCAGATCCCCTGAAACTGGAGTTTACAGCTGGTAGTAAATCACAGTGTAGGTACTGGGAATCAGGACTTCTGTAAGAACAGCCCATGTTCTTTACCACTGAGCCACCTCTCTAGTTCCTGTAGCTAGTCTTTTAATTGAGGGATCCTTACAGAATTTGTTATAACTTTAACATGTATTCTATTTCATAACAATCAGACCCATGTTGAATATAATTCTATTTTATCTGTAAATCCTTCCATAACACTAATCGACTCTTGACTACATGTGTTAGGAGTGCCATATGAATTTGCCGAACAGATTTTAAAGATCATTAGTAATTTGGGGAGGAACTTTATTGGATGATTTTTCTACTACCTTGGGATTGTTCTATTTTAATCATTTTCCACCTATTCCCACTCTGGCTTGACTCAAATTTTTTTCTTGGTCTTATTTGTTTTTGTGGTGTGTGTGCACATCATAGCACACGTGTCTGAGGTCAATCTACAGGATTCAAATCTCTCCTTGTACTGTGCTGGTCCCAGGGATCAAACTCAGACTGTCAGACTTGGCAGCAACCAATTGCCTTTACCCAGTAAGCTACCTTACCAGATGCAGTTATTTTTTAAAACACTCAGATATCTACCTTTAATGCAATAGCTGATACACCTTTATCTCAACATTTTCTTTCCTCAGACTATATCTATAGTTCTTATACTTTTTTTTTTTTTTTTTTTAAGATTTATTTACTTATTATGTATACAGTATTCTCTCTGCATGTATCCCTGAAGGCCAAAAGATGGTTGTGAGCCATCATGTGGTTGCTGGGAATTGAACTCAGGACCTCTGGAAGAGCAGTCAGTGCTCTTAACCTCTTATACTATTTCTATTATCTTCCCTGCTAAACAGATCTACCCTGTCATACTACTATAAGGAGTTTCTCAACATATTTCTTTTTTTGCTTTTTTTTTTTGAGACAGGGTTTCTCTGTGGCTTTGGAGGCTGTCCTGGAACTAGCTCTTGTAGACCAGGCTGGTCTCAAACTCACAGAGATCTGCCTCCTGCCTGGCTTCAACATATTTAAGATTCACCTGTTGCTGGTGGTGGCGGCACATGCCTTTAATCCCAGCATTCGGGAGGCAGAGGCAAGCAGATCTCTGTGAGTTCAAAGTCAGCCTGGTCTACAAATCAAGTTCTAAGACAACTAGGGCTACAAAGAGAAACCCTGTCTCAACAAATAGACAAAAACAAAACAAAAATTTCAACAATCATTCTTCTAAAGTCTTCAAAAATCATTTGACCCAAGGAAGAGAAAAACACACAAGAAGTAGCAAACATGACTGAATTCCTATTCCTACTTGTGGATACACACCCACCTGTAAAAGTGCTGCAATAGTACCAAATGAATGCCACAGCATGGGTGCAAGGTCAGGGACAGATTCTCGCTTCTTGCTTAGCTCCAGCAAAGCATTTTCCCTCGTCTCAGGACTGGACAGTTCATTGATCCACTGATAGATCTTCTCTCTGTCCACTTGGGCCAGTGCAGTAGGCACAGGCTTCAGGGGAAAACAAGAAAACAAATGTCAGTTTATACAGTTAAATCAAGTCTTATCCTGCAGTAGTGCTTTAGGAAAAAATGTATTTTTCTAAATAATAGAAATTTTACTAAACACATCAGTTAATGAGCCCATGTTTAGGAGTTTGTGTGATAGGTATATTTGGCTGTAACGAAGATATACTAGTATGCTTACTATTGTGATGTTAAGGCAGAAAACTAACAAACATCTATCAATAAGAGTTGGCTTAAATACATATTTTTAAAATATGGATACAATATTCTGTCTGCAAGTATACCTGCAGGCCAGAAGAGGGCACCAGATCTCATTGTAGATGGTTGTGATCACCATGTGGTTGTTGGGGATTGAACTCAGAATCTCTGCAAGAGAAGCCAGTGCTCTTAACTGCTGAGCCATCCTCCAGCCCCCGAGATGGCTTAAATATATCTTGGTGCATCTTTATATTAGAATATAATATATTAATATATATAGTTCGATATGGACCATACTACATACATAAAAAAATAAAAGTATATAAAACCCCCCCCAAACATATGTTTAGGTTATTAGATCACCTTAAAAAAAAAAAAAAAAAAAACAAAAAACCACTAATGGACACATAGGGCACATTTTAGCTTTAAGTCCCTTGCCTGGTTTTCTGAAAAAGTCCTATAATGTAATGCTAGGCATTATTTTAGTGTTTATCTTATTTTACTTATATGTATGTCTCTCTGTATGTGTATGGCACTTGCATGTGGGTGCTCAGAGCCCAGAAAGGGCATCCCAAAGAGCTGGGATTACAAGCAGTTTGAGTCACCCAATATGAATGATGGGAATGAAACTTCAGTCCTCTGTAAGAACAATACAAATTTGTAGTTGTCGAACCATTTCTTTAGACCCCTCATCTCATTTCATAAACAAGGAAGCTAAGACATAGAAGAGTTACTTACTATTTAAATGGCAATAGGCTCATGGTTCAACACTCTGGAGGCAGAGGCAGGTAGATATATCTCTGTGAATTTGAGGTACCTGGTCTATGCAACAGGTTTCAGGATACCTAGGGTTATGTAGTAATACTTATGTCAAAACAAAACAACCTTTATACAGGTAGTCCAGCAACAAAGCTCACTCTTTTAACTTCTTTGCTAATGCCGCTTATTATCTATCTGCCCGAAAGCCAGATCTGATCTCAAAACAATGTTCTTTCCTTTTTAGGGTTACAGGTGTATGCCACCAGCATACAATCTTTTAATAGAGCATTCTGACTTAGACATGTAATTAATATGTAAAAGTTTCAGACAAACATCATTATGCTTAGTTCAAAAGATCCCAAAAGAAAACTAGTACTCGGGAGGCAGAGGCAGGTAGATCTCTATGAGTTCAAGTCCAGCCTGGTCTACAGAGAGAGTTCCAGGACAGTCTCCTAAACAATACAGAGAAACCCTGTCTCAACACCCCCCCCCCAATAATGCCATTAGGAGAAAATTTCTAATTATGAGACTACAAAGCACTTAACAAACACTTTTATGGGAAAGTCTATAAAGCAGTTTTACAGAACTCACTATGTAACATTATGACTTAGACAGAACATCAATGTAACTCACACAAAAACAAAACAAAACACCCCCCATGAACTTTCAAGTAATTAAATACCTTAGTAGATAGAATGCATCCTGAACTGGGAATCTGAAGTGACTTCAAGATCCAGTTTTAGCTAGGGGTGGTGGCATGCACCTTTAATTCAGGAGGCAGAGGCAGGTGGATCTCTCAAGTTCAAGGCCAGCCTGATCTACATAGTAAGCTTCAGGACAGCCAGAGTTACATAGAGACCCTATCCCCTACCCACCCCCAATAAATAAATAAATAAATAACCAAACTAAACACCACAACAATCCAGTTTAGCTATTTAATAGAGCTGTGTGGTCTAGGGTAAATCATCCAATTTTGTCATAAGTTAAAGTGGAGCTACTGTATTAACTACTAGTTTCTAAAAGACTACCAGTTCAAAAATATCTTAGAAAATATTTAGTGCTGCTATAAGAGAGAAGCATCCCTTTTTATAAAGTATACAATAAAAGCACACCCAAGTTAAGTGCACAGTTCAATGAATTTTGTTAACATATATCTTGGTGACCATCACAGTTATGATATAGATCACTTCTATTATTCCCCTGAAGTTCCCCAGGGCCTCTTTCAGTAATCTGGTCTAGACAACCACAGGTATTTTCTGCTGCTGCAGATCAGATGAAGCCTGTACTTTCTAGGAATTACTATTAGAAGGAAGTTTTCCTCACTTTACCCTCTGAGCTAAGGTTAATAAAGGTTTAACACAATCAAGGCCACACAGTGAATGTATGGCAGAGTTCAATATCTCTAAGACCACTCTGTAGAGTCAGTCCTCACCTGTTCTATACAATAAAATTGCAACCTCCCACCTCCAGAGTTGAAGAAATTATTTTTTTCTACCCTAACACAACTTTCTTTTCTTTTTCTCTTTTTTTCCCAAAACAGGGTTTCTCTGCATTAGTTTGGAGCCTGTCCTGGAACTCACTCTGTAGACCAGGCTGGAATTGAACTCACAGAGATCCACCTGCCTCTGCCTCCCGAGTACTAGGTAGGACTAAAGGTGTTCGACACCAATGCCCAGCTTAACACAACTTTCTTTAATATTGTTACAATATAGTTTATTAACAGATTTGCAAAGCAAGTTGAACTATTAATAAATACCAGTCACAAAATCTTAAGTTTAATTTAGAATATCAATTACCATCTGGAGAGACGGTTCAGTGGTTAAGAACATTAGCTGGTCTTCCAGAGGACCCAGGTTCAATTTCCAGCACCCACATGGCAGCTCACAACTGTCTACAACCCATTATAGGACACTCACCACCTCACTCACACAGACATATATGCAGGTAAAACACCAAAGCACATAAAATAAAAATAAACCTTAAAAATGCATTTAAAAGTAGCTATGCAGTGGCAGCACATGCCTTTAATCGTAGTACTTGGGAGGTTCAGGCAGTCGGATCTCTGTGAGTTTGAGGCCAGCCTGGTCTATAGAGTGAGTTCCAGGACAGGCTCCAAAGCTACAAAGAAACCCATCTTGAAAACAAAAACAAAAAAGATTAGAACAGGACTCTATTCCAGGGGGTATTAATATCCCTTGTAATTCACTAAAGTTAACAGCATTTCTTTTTAATAGATGCATTTAAGTATATATCATCAAATTAACAGAGAGCTGTTCTCCCCTTTGTGCTGAATGGTTTGTATGTATAAAATATATCTTGAATTAATATTTTCTTTCAACCAAACTCATTTCAGGAAAGATATTCACCTAAGTAAGCCATTAATAGCTAACTACAATTATCACAAAGCTAATGTGAATAGAAAGACATTTATAAATTATTTTGAATAAACATTTATCTGTAAACTGTAAAACTCATTTTCCTCCTTTGGTGACCTGAAAATGCGATGTAGATGGGTTTCTTAAATGCTGATGGCCAGCAGGGCTCACTGTCTTCCTGATATGACAGTGAATGAAAGAAAGAATAGGGTTAGATTTAACAGATTACATCTCAAAATGAGGGAGCTCAACATGGGACTTCTATTTAACTCCCTGTGCAAGACAAGCTGGCCTTAAACTCACAGCAATCTTTCTGCCTCATCCTCTTGAATGCTAGGATTACAGACAAAACGTACCTTTGAGTATTAACATAAAGAAATATGACTTAAAAGTGCTTTCTAAATCACACTGAAAGTATTAACTGTCCTTATGAGGACCCCAATTTTTAAGTTTATTTGTAAGTTAGGGTTTCATTATATAGACTAGATTGGCCTGGAACTTGTGATCGTTCTTGATCTGTCTTCCAAGTCTTGGCATTACAGGTCTGTGTGACTTAAAAAAAAAAAAAAAAAAAAAAAAAAAAAAAAAAATCAAAGTAGGGCCAGTGAGATGACTCAGCTGAGTAAGGGTATTTGCCATACCCAGCACTCAATGTGGTAGGAGAGGACTGACTTCTACAAGTTTCTCTCTCTCTCTCTCTCTCTCTCTCTATATATATATTTATACACACACACACACACACACAGGTCTGTCTGTGTCTCTCTCACATACACGCACATTCACTCACACACTAAACTAATACATGAAAGTAAACCAGCAAAGAGAAGCTAGATTCTTTGCCTTAAGTTTCAACAGGAGATTTGGCAGCAGTGAACCAATTTTACTGAATTCATTCCTGCCAAAGAATGGAAGTCAATCAGTTTAAACACAAAGATAATAAAATGGGCTGGGAAAATGGCTCAGTATGTGCCTATAGCTCAAGTCATGAAGACCTGAGTTTGGATCCGCAGCATCCATACAAAAGTTAACTAAACATGAAGATATATAACCTTGGGACTCCAGAACTTACAGATGGAAGTTTTGTTGGTCAGCTAATCTAACTGAAATGGGAAGCTCCAGGTTATGTGAGAAACCCTTTTTCAAAAAAGAAACAAGGGGGCTGGAGAGATGGCTCAGTAGTTAAGAGCACTTGTTGCTTTTGCAGAGGACTTGGGTTCAAGAACCTACATGGTAACTCACAATCATCTGTAATTCCAGTTATAGGGGACCCTTTTCTGACCTCCAAGGTCACCAGGAATGCACATTCATACATGCAGGCAAAACATTCATACACATAAAATAAATTCTAAAAAATGAAAAAGAAACAAGGCGGAGGTCTGGGAAGGGGTCAGTCAATCCAGCACTTGTCTTGCAGAGGGCAGATTTTGGGATCTACAGGACCTACCCAAAAAGTCCTACAAGTGCCGATGCCTAACACCCTAGCCTAGCACTTACGAAGCAGAGACAGAGAATCCCAGGGGGAAGCCAGCTTAAATGTAGTCACAAGCTTTGGGATCAAGAGGGAGGCCAAAGTAGAGTAACCAAGGAAGATATCTGATATTAATTTCAGGCCTAAACACAGACACCTGCATTTGAACCCATACACCTGTGAACATACCATACATAAAAGAAAATAATTATAATTTAAAAAGTAAACAACACAGTGAAAGACATCTGACACTGGTGTCTGGCCTCCACACATGCACCAATAGACAGACAACTCGTGCACACACATACACACACAGAAAGAGGAACTCAAATGTTCAAACTGCCAGTAGAAACTAGTGAAGAACTTTTATATTCAAGTGAATCTAATGCCTCTCCTGAAAGTTTACTTTGGCTGTTTCATTACAAAAGACTCAATGTCATGTTTGCACTAATCTAGGTAACTCCATGTGCCATCGTGTATGTGTGAAAGTTAGAGAATAACCTGTGGTGGTCATCTCTCTTTTCCCACCAGTGGGTTCTGTCGACAAACTCAGGTCACCAGGCTTGAAGGCAAGTATCTTTATCTTCTGACTCCCAAACCCACCTTACTAGTTACATTTTTTTTTTTTTTTACACATAGTATGAGCATTTGTGTGGTATCAACACGTGTGGGGCAGAGGTGTGCTCAGACCTCCTCAATCATTCCTGGCCATGTTCCTTTGAAGTGAGGCTAGCAGTTAGCAAGCCCTAATGATTCTTCCGTCTCTAACCCCAAAGCTGTCTGGGGTTGCACACATGGAGTCACAGATGACTTTTTATGTGAGTGTTGGGGATTTGACCTCTTACCTTAGCCATCTCTCTTACACTTACTAATTTTTGCAAATAACCCTTCACTGTTTTCTGCCCACAATAAATAGGAAAGTTTTTTTTTATAGTAACAGATATCAGAATATATTCCGTAATGACAAGAGTACACTATATTATATTCCAACTACTTCAGTGTCTTTTGCTACTGTCTCTCTAGTTATAACACCTGCATTCAAGCCCTTTAATAGTACTTCCTATCTCCCTACCTAAGGGATGGTTTCCTTGCTATATATTAATGAGATAGACTCCGTCTCAAGTACCACTCCAGAGGAACAACCCCCAAAGTTGACTCTGGCCTCCACATATGCACACCCACAATATGAACACATACATTATTAAACAAAAACCAAGCGTCTTCGCCAAAGATTTAGGTTTCTGTGGTATTGCTGCATGTGACTCTAGTACATATTTTTTTTTGCTCAGATCAAAATAACATAAGGAGTTTGGATGCTTATGGGAATAAGGGATTGTGAAGGAACTGCCTCAAATTTTTATTCTTCAGTATCCTCACTAAATATTCTACCGGATGAGTGGTACAAAAGAATTTGCCAGAGCTGCCAGGTGGGTCAAACAACATAACAAATGTTCAAGTCTTTTAATTTACGCACAGCACTTTAAATATAATTGAAGAAATTCACATTGAGAACTTTTTTCCTTTTTGCCATCGCTGCACTCTGTTTGCTCTATGAAACAAGCTTGCCTCAAACTCAAGAGATTCAGCTGCCTCTGCTCCCAAGTGCTGGGATTTAAGGCATGCACCACCACTACTAGGTTTGTAAGTATTCTTAAATTATCCTGCTTTCATACGGTTGTCAGAGTGCAATTCAGTCTAAATTATTTAAGTGCTTACCTTGCAGTAGGAACTGGTCTAGCAGTGGGGAAACCAAGTAAACAGGATTCACAAGAAAAAAAAAAAAAAAAAAAAAAGGCCTGCCCCTGACCCCGAGAGGCAAACAAGACAACCTACAAGTTAAAAAATCCAGTAATTACACACTGGGAAATCAATATTCTACAAAAGAAAATGATGGAGTTACAAACTTCTGTAAACATGGTCAGAAAAAGCCACTCTGGGGCAGACTTGTGTGTATGTATGGAGGCTGTCCTAAGGAGGACAATTCCAGGTAAAGAAACTAGAGACTGCGTCATGCAGTGGAAAAGTGCATATGCTTCTGGTCGGAGCTTAAGGAGCAAGTGACAAAAACAGAGCCCATAAACGTGACTAAGGACCACATCATACAGGGCTTGTAGGCCAAGGAGTCTACTTTTTCTAAATGTGACCAAAAGCCAGAGGATGACTTCAGGGAGCTGTAATACGTGATTAGCTTTTCTTGTTAAAAGATAAAAACGAGATGTGCGAGGAAGGCTTTAAGCGCAGAGGACCGTAAGTCAGATGCAACCATCCTGAACTTGGGGGCTCTGGCTTCCAACAAGCAAAGCATGTGGATTGAGCTAGAAGCCATTTCCTTCCCACTGAGATGTGTCTAGGCGAGTTGTTCCAGGAGCATGGGACCAGAGCGAATGGCCATACAATTATACTCATCCCCGTTGACGCCCAGCACACAACCGGCGACCAGAAACTGACGCCGAGTTTAAATGAATCAATGAATGGCCTGCTGGGGCCGCGCGCGGGGACCAGGCCTCGGCGCCGGAAAAGAATGCGAGAGGCCGCGCGCGAGGCCGGGGGAGGAGACGGACACGGCGGGGATGGCTGGGGGTCCGACTCCGCCACGGGCAGGGCGCGGCGTGGAGACTCCCGGTCCTCGCGGCTAGGGGCAGAAGCAGCTGGACTCGGGGCCCGGCTCTGGGAGCTACGAAGCAGGCTGAGACTGGCATCCGGGCGCAGCCACTCACCGCTGCCGTCGCCAGGCTGTGCATGTTGGGAGCGGCCGCCGCTCTGATTCTTCCACCGGACGCGCCGGACCCGCGTCCCAGCTTCAGCGGCTGTGCAGCCGGAGATGAAGAGCCGCCATCCGCCTCCGGCTCGCTCCTCCCCCTCCTCAGCCCTCTGACCTCTGACCCTCCACCCACACAGCCCTTTCCCGCCTCCTGGCCCTCGGCCTAGCTAATAGTCCTAGAGTATGTTCTTTGACACCAACTTCAGGATCAACCTACTGGTCTGCAACCTACTGGTCCTCGTATTCCCCCGGCATCGCAGGTGAACCCCAGAGGAGCGTGAACTCTGACTTTCCTCCTAAGGCCAGAGAAGGGCGGGAAAAGGCCGGCGGGATTGGGAGACACGAACTGCGCATGCTCAAGCAGACTTGAGCGAGAGGAAAATGGTGGGAGGTCCAAAGTCGGTAAAATGGAGAGTGCGCATGTGTACTACAGTACCGTCACGGCAGGAGCCGGGCCGCCGGGTGAGGGGCAGGGCTTGGTGAGGGGCGGGACGAATGCACGGGGGCGGGGCTTGAGCGCTGACGCGCACGCGCCAGGACTGGTTGCGTCGAGGGTGCGTGCGTGCGTACGTGTTTGCGTATAGTCACAGTTCCCGCCATCAGTGGGTTTAGGTGTGTAGGAGAGAGCACGGCCTCGCTTTCTGGGGCCAGGCGAGCCCCTTCCTTCTGAGCCCCTCGGCTCCTCCCCCTCCGCGGGATCTCTGTGCTTCCGGCATGCTTGTCCTGGACTGGGACCCTCTGGCACAGGTAAGGTGGGCCGGGAAAGCTGAATTGAGCCGTTTCCCCAGCCTCACCCCCCCCCACCGGGCGGTCCGCCCACTCGGCGTCCACTCCAGAGTTAGCCCGGCTGCCGCTCAGCCGGCCCCGGGTCCCTGGACGCGCCCTGTGCCTTACAGGTGCCCCCATTCGAGTGCTTCCCCTCCACTTTCCCTCTCCTTTAACGCGGTCCGTATTGTCACTCGCTCTCCGCATCCTAAACCCGGCTCCTGTTCACTAGGGTTGTGGTGGTCTCGGCTTGCCTCCTAACAAGGCCTGCTGTCTTTCCAGGTGACTCTGGGCCACATATCCCTCAGACCTTGGATGTGATGATACTCATTCGCCCTCTGGGCCATTCGTTACTTTCCTCCTCCTCTTAAACAGTGCTCATTGAAAGTCAGGGAGTGTAATTTTGTCGTGCGTTTGGTTGCTTCCCGTATCTAACAACACCGGCGATGTCCAATTTTTAAATCAAGTGCCTTATCTTTGTAGAGTTGTGCTGTAGTGGTTTTCGGGTGTTCTTTTGGCGAGTTACAGTACCTTAATGAGTCTAGCTTTAAGGGAAATCTAAGAGAATGTTAAGGAGGCATTTGGGTTTATTGGGTTAAATATAGCAGGGAGATTCTGGGCCAGACATATGGATAAATATACATGTGTGTTTGTATGTTATGGTTGTCGTTTGCCATGTTAAATTTGGAACATGCATATGCATGGCATTGCCTAAAGAAGAGTGCAGTGCTCTTCGGTAGCATTGAGATGCTTAACGTTTAATACTGAGTAGAGGAGGTAAAGAGATGAAAGAAAGGCGCTGCATACTAGCAAAAGGTAAACAAGGGGCTGAAAAACTCAGTTGTCTTTGTGAGAAATTTGGCAGGGATTTGGCTTCGGGCTGGGATTCTCTTCTCTTGCTCTTCCATTTCTCTCTAAGTTTTAAATTCCACCATATATTGAAAACTTGAGAATTTTTATTTTCAGCTCCATATTCAAATAAATAGATGGCTGTCTGTTTAACATCTCGACTTGATTCCCACCCCCCCCCCTTGGGAATTTCAAATATAACACCTCTAAAACCAGAAGCTTTGTCTCTCTGTTTTTTCAAGGCAAGAGTTTCTCTATGTAACCCTGGCTGTCCTGAAACTAGCTCTGCAGAACAAGCTAGCCTCCAACTCATGGAGATCCGCTGCCTGCTCCCCACCTCCCCTCACCCGATTACAGGCATGTGCCACCACCTCCTTGCCCCCCCCCCCTTCGAGACAGGATTTCTCTGTGTAACAGCTCTGGCTGCCGTGGAACTCTTTTTAGACCAGGCTGGCCTTGAAATCTCAGAAATCTGTTTGCCTCTGCCTCCCAAGTGCTGGTATTAAAGGTGTGGGCTAAAACCAGAGTCTTGATCTTTTTCTCTACCCAAATTCTCACCCTTCCAATGCCCATTTCCGTAAGTGGCATGTCCATTGTGATGTGACATTTGTTCAGTTACACCGGGTAGAAGCTTCAGAGACATTCTAGATTTCTTCATCCTGTGTGTTCATATCTTCTCCAAGTTCTATTTTATTTACAGTATATGTCTTGCATCTGTTTTTGATCGCCTTCACATTTACTTTTCTAGTTCAAACTACAGTTCTTTTTCATGTGGACTTGATCTCTCTGGCTTCTATTTTCACTTGTAAAATAGTAAGAGTTTCTCAACTTAGTGGACTATTATGAATGCTATAAACTTGGCAAAGCATTGACACAAAAACTGGCAAGTAAAAATTGTTATTGTAATTATGAGTTAAACAACACTACTTTCCTAGCGGATCTTTCTTTCTTTCTTTTTTTTTTTTTTTTTTTTTTTTACTCTTGTTTTCTCTGCTTCCCAAACTCCACTTTTCCATTCATTCAAAAATAACATATAATTTCTTTGCTTGAAACCCTTCAGTGACTTTCCCATTGCCAAGGTGCTTATTACTTTAAGATAAAATTTAAAATCCTGTTCTGGGATATGGTTCAGTTGCCAAAATGCTTGCCTAGCATGCATGAATCCCTGGAGAGAGACAAGAGAGAGAGATTCTATACAACCTCGTCTTGCCTACTTCATTAGCTTCATCTTTTGACCTCTTCCTTTCTATAACCTTCAGCCACACTGATTTAATTTGTGTTGACATTTCTAGCTTAGGGCTTTTGAACACACTACTTTGCTTATCTGGATTGTTCAGTGCTACTATCCTTCAGTCAACTCTGCCTTACTTTTCAGCTTAAGTAATACTTTCTCAGTGAAGCCTTCTCTTGATTTCCCCCCCCCCCTCTACTCTCAACCCCCAGGTTGGATAAAAGCTACTTTAGGCAGAACTTATTCCTGCAAATATAACTGACCTCTTACACACACTGTAAATACACTGTAAAATAAAACAACTCACTTTTGTTTTCATTTCTCAAGAATTGGTTAAATGAATCATATTGGAAATTGCCATAAATTTAACAGAGATGTAAGATGCTGTAAGAACCATCTTGTCTTTTGAAAGCATCAGTTTTCCGGTACTCCTGAAACAGACACTTCGTTCAGCAAAGGAAAACAGATGGGAATATGGCTCAGCTGTAGGTTGCTCACTTAGCATACTGAAAGCCTGGATTCTAGCCATAGAAATTTGAAAATGAGCAGGGCACAAAGAGCAACAAAGGGTCTCCAGTTTATGGTAGTTTTACTTATTCCTGTTATCAAATCATTCTTATTTTTTTTTTCTTTTTTTCTTTCTCCTCCCGTGCCACCCCCCACCAAAACAGAGTTTCTCTCTCTGTCTTTGTAGCCTGTCCCATAACTCGATCTGTAAAGCAGCATACTGGCCTCGAATTCACAGAGATCTACCTGCCTCTGCCTCCCGAGTAAGCACTGGGCCTAAAGGTGTGTGCCACCACTGCAGGGCCTTTTTTTTCTTTCCTTCCTTCCTTCCCTCCCTCCCTCCCTCCCTCCCTCCCTCCCTCCTTCCTTCTTTGGAAGGGCTTCTTTGTATTGCTTTGGAGCCTGCCCTGGAACCTAGGGCCTTGAACTCAGAGTTCCGCCTGCCTCTGCCTCTGCCTCCTGAGTTCTGGGACTAAAGGCATGTGCCACCAACACCTGGCTGCTGGGCCATTTTTACAGGCTCTGTTTTATGATTTTGTTGTTGTTGTTGTTACAAAAGAAAGTAATTGAAAACCAGCAGAGTGATTTATATATTTTAGCAACAGGTTAAATTGAGACTAGTAAAGATGAGGCGTCTACAAATAGATAAAAAGTTCTTGGTAGGTAAGGGAATCAATATTAAAATGTTAAAATTTAATTGAAAACAAAAAAAGGAAGTATATAGATGTCAGAATTTTATTTTCTAGTTTGTAGTGAGCAAGTAAAAATGTTTATAATGGAGTTAGCAGTATTAGTATTGAGTACTTAGCACTTACATTAATTTTGCTGGAATGTACCAGAAATGTATCTAAGTTCTTTTGCCTGATTAGGGAGAAGGCTGTGAAAACAGTGTGAACTTTAGTTCCTGAGAAACTTTAAAAAAAAAAGGTTCTTTAGAAAGACTGTTGTAGAAAAGGATTCATTGATGGAAAAATCCATTGAGAATGGTGACTGGGAAGTAACTTATACAATTCATTGATGAGAATGAACTGTGATAGTGGTTAAAAATTTGGGTTCCAGCAAGGTGTAGTGATGTATGCCTGTAATCCCAACATTTGAAGATTGGAAGTGGGAGGAACTGTTGTTTAAGGTCAGCCTCCACCTACATAGTTCAAAACCAGCCTAAGCTACATGAGATCCTGTTTCAAAAAACAAAACAGGGAGAAAGTTTTAAGTTTGGGCATAGCTTTGTCTCTTAGTGACTCTATTAATAATTTCTTTTTAAAAAGATTTGTTCACTGTTACATGTGTTTTTTCTGCATGTGTGTGTATGTATGTGTGTATGTATGTGTATGTATGTATATCACATCTGTGCTTGTGTTACTTGTGGAGAGAAGAGAGTATCTCCCCCAGAACTGGAGTTAATGGATGGTTGTGAGCCATCATGTGGGTGCTGGGAATCAAGAGCAGGTCTTCTGCAAGAGCAACAAGTGATATTGACTACTGAGCAATCTCTCTAGCCCCCTGCATTAATTCTTAATCTCTGGAAATGTCAATTTCCTTTATCTATAAAATACAGTGATAAGCCCTGTCCTCTAAGATTATTATTAATATTAAATAAAAGTGTTTGATATATAGCACTATGCTTAGTAAATGCATGATACTGGGTGGGGTGATTTAAAGAAATGAGTTTTTTAATTAACTTATTTTGAGGCACGCTCTCATGTAGCCCATGCTGGCCTTGAAACTCACTGTGTAGCTGAAGATGAACCTTGAACTCCTTCCACCTCCCAAGTGTTGAGGTAAAGGCACACCAGTTAATCCTTTGCTGATGTTGAAATCCAGGGTTTCATGCATGCTAGGCAAGCACTCTATC